GTTCAGGAGAGCCATACTTGGGTGGTGCCTCACGTGATTTAATGGCTAGTGTACGCCTCTCTTCTTTAGGATACTCTACAGAACCCAGTGCTCCGTTAGGACTTGTAGGCATGAAGGCAATAAGAGCCACCAAAGCAGTGCGAACTACAAAAGAAACAAATTCCAATAATCAAAAACAAAAAGAGCTAACTTATATACTTCAACCACATGCGTATTAGTTTCATCTTAAGAAACAACGCAACAGTTAAGATTCCGTGAGTTTACCACTCCATGAAGGTTGCCAGTGCTCAGGATGGTAATTAGAAATGCTCAAGCAAATCTTCGTATTGGTTTCAAAACGACCATTAGGCTGAAGAAAGCAAAGAGATTCATTATATACATACTCTCCATATTTCCCTTGTTACATGGTAAAATGAATCCTTACAGTCAATAACATGAAGGAAGGAGGCTTGAAAGGATAATCTGCAGGCAATTGAATCCTCCCATGATAAATCCCACCTTCAAATTCAGTGTCAGCTGGACCTCTGATAGCGAATTGCCACTCAAATATATTCTCCTGAAGCAAAAATACATAGAGAAACCATCTCAAAAACAACACTCTCAATCTGAAAAAAAAAAACTAAGGATTCTCAAAACAATCTGTTACACAATGAGCACATGAAGGATACTAATCATCCATGATCCCGATCACCTAAAATCAATACACTATTCATAGATCTACAGAAGCAAACGGATTCAATTTAACCTAATCTCCGATAGCAACACAAGGAAGATTCCGATTCAGATTCAGATTCAATCAAACATCTCCTCTCAGATCTCTAAAGCTCGGAAGAGGATTAGGTTACCTCAAGGGGAAGAGACATGAAATCATCGGAGGGATTAGCTTGCATCTCCTTGACCTCCTGCAAAATCCTCTTCACCGCCGGATTCTTCCTGTTATACTTCTCATCCGCCATCTTATCTCCTCACCGGAAAAATGTAATCCGCCGCCGTAGTCCGATGCGTATATAAATAAATAAACTGATACACGCAAAGGAGAGGAGTAGATTGCGTTGCGGTGAGAGAGACAACTCAAAAAATTAATTCCAAAAAGAATTAGTTTCCACGTCATCACTCTCTCTTAATACGTGTCCAACCATCTTTAACGGTTTTGAATGTGCCACGTAATCGTTGTGTCTTTTACTGCCGTTGATATAGTTGGACTTTTACGGGCTTTTGAGTTATTATTTAAAAGCCCAATAAAACGTGCACGCTACAAAGTATATATAGGAAGTCGTTTGACAGGGAGAGAGGATGATCGATGTAGAAGAATCTTGAGACTAGGTTGACGAAGCAACTTCAATGGAGAAACTGAGGGGTTACGGACACGTGGCTTTATAATCACCGTTAGATATCATATATACAGAAGCTTACACGTCATGCCTTCAACGTCGTAGTTCATCTGTCAAGAACATCGCCGAGCGTTGTCCGAAGCTGAAGATGTTCTTGTACGTGTTCTTAAACACGAGGTCGCCTTCTGGGTGGGAGAGTAGCCAATTTTTTGGTCTGATTTTTTTTTCTATGTTTTTGTGTTATTAATGTTTGTGAAAGACGAACCTGCGGTCGTAATTTCGAGACATTCTACATGTGTATCTCTTTTTTGACTGGATAGCACGTTCGTTCACTTACATGGTGATATGACAAAGAAACTACTATCATAATCTAGTTGTAAATTAGTATGTCAATAACAATTCCATAACATAAGTTGATACGTGAAGATGAAGACAAAAAATACCAAGAAAACCACAAAGAATCCTAAATATATACATAGGCATAAGTTTTGATAGCAGTAGATGATGATAGCTTTCTGCTATGGTTCACATATCCTTTAGTTTTAGATAGCATTTGTAAAAATGTAAGTTATACATAACTAAGACTTTGAAATAAATGATTTTTCTTCTCATTCTTGTTTCGTACATTCTATATTCTATATTTACTTAATAATATACATATATATATACACATACATATATATATATATATATTTTTTTTTTTGCATTTAAGATAAATTTTTAATGTTTAATGTACTTTTCCATTTTTCAAATTGTGTATTTTCTTATTATTATATATATATATAATTCTTATAATATATATTAAAATGTAAAACTATATATTATATCAATTTGAAAATTTAAAATTAAACATAATAATATAATAATATTAACAATATTTTCGGATTACTTTTTTAAAATGTAAAATGTTGATCTTACATATTTTTAATGTAGTATTTCTATTTCTAATGTTTTATATTTACATATTTTTTTGAAATTATATATATCATGGTAATCTTACATATGTTTAATGTTTTATTTTCATTTATAATGTTGTATATTTTCATATTAGTTATTATTTTCAAAATTATATTTATCAGTAATATAAAAATGTAAAACTATAAATTATATCAATATTTTCAAAATGTAAAACTAAACATAATAAGGTGATAATTTTAATGATGCCAAGTGGCATTTTTCAGAAGTGGGTTTTTACGCTGATGTGGATATTTTATTATTATAGATTTAATTATGAATTAAATTAGAATAAAGATATTAGTTTGTCAAATGTTTAGTGGTTTGCTGAATAAAACAATTGTAGTACGTTAAGTCCTAAAACCCTAATCGTATACGGCCATAAATTTATCTGGTGTGCTTAGTTATATATATAGATCCGAAAAATGAAGAGGCTGGTAGTTCGATTACTTGAACAATAGCGGCTACGATGATATCGGATCTTCCAAGAGACATGGCGGAGGAGGTGCTCTCTAAGCTTCCCATTACATCGCTGCGAGGAGTACGGTTCACCTGCAAAAAGTGGAACAACACTTTGTCAAAAAATCGAAGGCTTACAAAAAAGTATAAAAGTGAAGCAGCAAAGAGGAAGGAGTTTCAGGTGGTGATGATGCTCACATACAAAGTTTACTTGATGAGCGTCACTCTCCAGAATCCATCTCCATATATAGAGCCTATAGGTGAACTCGTTAGCGGCCAAGATGATGGCGTGGACATATCTAAAATCTTTCACTGCCAGGGTTTATTGTTATGCGCCACCAGAGACAGAAAGTTTCTTGTTGTTTGGAACCCTTTTGATGGGCAAACAAGGTGGATCGAACCCAGAGATTATTACCACGAACTTGACAGGTACGCTCTCGGATACGAGATTAAGAGCAAGTACTCGCGGCGTAGACATAAAGTCTTGAGATTTGTGGATGATTACGACCACAGGTTAAAGCGCCGAGTATATGAGTTTGAAATCTTTAGTTTAAACTCTAGTTCTTGGAAGGTTATTGATTTCAATCCGGACTGGATTGTATCATATTATCGCCGTGGCTTGTCTCTCAAGGGCAATACTTACTGGATTGCTGTTGAGAAGCTTGTTGGCAAAAAAGAAAGACTATTTTTACTATGTTTTAACTTTACAACAGAGAGTTTTGGACCGCGTCTGCGTCTGCCTTTTCGTGGTTGTTCTTTAAATACAGTGACTCTGTCTAGCGTTAGAGAAGAGCAGCTTGCCGTCTTGTTTCAAAACTCTGATGAGCCTGCATACACCTTGGAGATATGGACCAGTAGCAAGGTTGATCCGAATGGAGTGACGTGGAACAAGGTGTTCTTAGCGGTTGATATGAAGGCATTATTCGGTTTTACGTTTAGACGTTACGCTGGAAGTTTCTTTGTTGATGAGAAGAAGAAAGTTGTCGTGGTTATTGATATGAGTAGAGATTATTCTTGCCCCAATCGTCGTATCATGGCTTACATCATTGGCGAAAATGGTTACTTCAAAACAGTTGAGCTCGGAGATTATAAATACGGAGATTGTATGCCACTTGTGTGTTCTTATGTTCCAAGCTCGGTGAGAATCAAGTAAAGCTGCACCACCAGGCGACCAGAGGAACATACCATAATCAAGTGACTTGTCATTAAAGATTATGAATAGTTGATTTGTAAACATGGCCTATGGTTTCAGTTACTCTATTCATCTTTATATTGCCAAAGGAGGATCAAAACACTGCATGTTAGGTTTCATTAGATAAACTTGCTTAAATATTATTCAAAGCTAAGAGATAAAACATAACCTGAAACACTTGCAGCATGACTCAAGTTATAGCTTTTCCACATGTTTTATGCAAGTAGTAACACATAACTAAATATCTAAACCTGTGGCTGTGCTTCATGTGAATAGTATCCACCACTTGCTTCTCTTGGTTCCTAAAGAGTGGAACAAGGTAACAAACTAGTTTAGTTAGACATGAGCATTGATAAAGTGATCTCACATGCTCCTTGTTTTTTTTTTTTTTTGACAAACAGATACTTAGGCTCTTCTTGGAGATCACTAATTATTCTCTTAATGCTTTTGTTGGATCAATTCCTATTAGAGCTTCCGCTCCATTCACTTGATGTCTTGGTCACATTCTAACAATCTGACCTCTAGTGTTAAATGTGTAACAAATCTAAACCGGTAAACATATTTTGAAATGATCTTTTTTTTTGTATCCTCTTTATGATGCAGTGACTTCTG